CGGGAGGGTCCGGCGGCCCCCGACGGTGGTCCTGGTGGCCACCCACGCCGACCTGGCGGACCTGCCCAGATGTTTCTCCGGAGAGTTCAGCTACAAGAAAGAGAGAGTGCTCCTCAAGGAACTTAGGAGCAGGTCAGGAATCTGCGAGAAAATAAGTCGTCGTTAGGCGGGCCAAAAATGACGGGTGTTCCCTTTCAGGTTTGGAAATGACCTGCAGATCAGCGACAAGTTGTTTGTGATGGACACCGGCGCCTCCAACTCCAAAGACATGAAGCTGCTGAGGAACCATCTGCAGGAGCTGCGCGCGCGCCTTATCTCTGTGGGCACCAACACACGACGGGGGGGGGGGGCGCACCACTCGCATCGTCTCGACCGGGGGGTGCCCGACCCCGCCATTGCCAATCCACCAGCCGGGGGGGTCGATTTGGGCGTCTGCGCGCACGTGTTGCTGTGCACCCGAAGCATCGCGTCACTTTGGCCCCAAAAAGGATTGAAAAACAATCCAATCGAATCACAAACTCTTAGATTACCTTTATTGGTCTGTTGCGCACCACTCGCATCGTCTCGACCGGGGGGTGCCCGACCCCGCCATTGCCAATCCACCAGCCGGGGGGGTCGATTTGGGCGTCTGCGCGCACGTGTTGCTGTGCACCCGAAGCATCGCGTCACTTTGGCCCCAAAAAGGATTGAAAAACAATCCAATCGAATCACAAACTCTTAGATTACCTTTATTGGTCTGTTTGGTTCACGTGAGGGGCCGTTCTGGCTCTCGCTCATTGCGGCGCACGCGCATGTATCGATCGCAGGATTTCTCTTGCTTGCAAAGTCGACCTTTGAGGTCGAAAAAAGGTCGGGCACCCCCGATCCGCACACGCGCACGGCGTCTACCCAACGCGGCGTATCGAAATGTGAATTTCAACAAAACCAAGTGTGACTTCCTCCTCCCCCGTCTGACGTCTCGGCTGTTGCGCGCAGAGCTGCGGCGCCGTGACGCCGCTGTCGGAGCGCCTGCTGGCGGCGCTGCCCGCCTGGCGGAAGTTGAGCGGCCCCAACCAGCTGATGTCGTGGCAGCAGTTTGTCCGCGACGTCCAGGAGAACATCAACCCGCTGGTCAGCCAGCAGCACCTGAGAGGCCTGGCCTTGCAGCTGCACAGCATGGGCGAGGTCAGTTAGCCGCCGCCGGCGTTTTCGCAGCCCGCCGGGATGAAAATGATATCGATCACGAACGAGTGACAAACATTCACCGGGGCTGCGGCGCTGCCGTCAGCTCGGCGCAGACTCGGGAAACGCGGCGCTCGTGCGAAATGTCTTTCGTCGGCCTTTTGCGCAGATCCACATCCTGCAGAGCGAAACGGTGCAGGACGTGGTCCTGCTGGAGCCGCGCTGGCTGTGCAGCGTGGTCTTGGGCCGCCTGCTGTCCGCCGAGACGCCCAAGGCCATCCACCACTACAGGGGGCGCTACAGGCTGGAGGAGGTGCAGGCCCTGGCGCCCGACGGCGACGCCGAGGAGCTGCTGCAGATTACGACGCCGAGGGGGCCGACGCCGACGCCGCCGCCGTCTACGGGGGCGTCCGGCTGGTGCCCGCCGAGCATCTGGCCGCCTTCCCCTGCGGGTTGTTCCACAAGCTGCAGGTCAACCTGTGCCGATGGAGTCGGCAGCCCAAGCCCGACCACCGCCGCGAGGAAGAAAGAGAGGCCGACGTTCACCTGTGGACAGACGGAGCCGAGGTGAGCGGGGCCGCCCAAAAGTCCTCATCTTTACCCTCGTGGCTTGGTGGGCCGGCTGAATAAAGAGCCCAAAATGGAAACAATTTGAGCGGTGAGCACTGCGAGGTGCCAGTGAGCTGCGCTCACTAAACAACGAGCAGGTGGAAAAAAGCCGTTCCACCGCTCCCGGCTTATTGTCAAACTAAAGAGAAGAAAGAGAAAAGAACAGCAGGACTTTGCCGCAAGGAAGCCTGTTTCGCTTCATGCTGACAACACGTCACAGAAAAGCTCGCCAGTAGCATTGCTGGTGTAAGCTTGTCACGGTGGAGCCACACATGTAGACAGACGATGCTCACACACACACACATCTTTTTTATCCTCTGCGCAGACAGACTAATAGGACAGCCGTGCGGCTCAACGCGCCTCGGTTGTTGCAAACGCGTCAAAACGGAAAAACAAACGAGGGTTGATTTGGGGGGGCGGGAGATGAATTGGAGATTGATGACTCCTCCCCCCTGGCCCCAAGGTGAGCCGGTTGGGCGCGGAGGCCACGGTGCTGCTGGTCAACCACGGCCAGGGCCTGGAGATCCGGGTGCGCGGGCGCGAGTCCCGGCGGGCCCAGTGCTACGCCCTGCTGGACGCCGTGTGCGGCATCGCCGAGAGCCTGCTGGCGTCCACGCTGCCGGGCCTGCTCACCGCCAAGTACTACCTGAGCCCCCGGCAGCTGCGCGAGCGCCACGCTCCCGTCATGGCGTACCAGCCCAAGGACTTCCTTCGGGCGCAGCTGCAGAGGGAGACCTCGCTCGCCAACACCATGGCGGGCTACAGGGAGAGCTTCAGCGCCATCCTCGCCTTTGGCTCCGCGGAGGTAGGCGCCGTCCGTCCCCCGCAAAAAATGCCCCTTGCGCTCCGCCCGTGTTGAAAAGGATCGATCTTGCTCTGTCTCTCTCCAAAACCCGGCCCGTGACTTCCGGGACGCGCCGTAGGTGTACCAGCGCGGCGTGCTGGGCCCCGACGTGCACATCGCCGAGGTGCCGCCGCTGGCCCGCCGCAAGCTGTGCCGCATGCTGGACCCGCCCGACGCCCTGGGGAAGGACTGGTGCCTTCTCGCCATGAACCTGGGCCTCAGCGAGCTGGTGGCAAAGCACGGCGGCGACGGGGCGGCTCCCGACGCCCCGCCCAGCCCGACGGCCGCCCTGCTGCGCGAGTGGAGCGGCCGTCCCGGCAGCACGGTGGGCGTCCTCGTGCTCAAGCTGCGGGAGCTGGGCCGGAGGGACGCCGCCGATTTCCTGCTCAAGGCCTCGCCCGTCTTCAGAGTCCACGCGCGGGCCGACGGTGACGACGCCGCCGCCGCCTGCAATGGCGGTACGTCCTACCACTCCATCAGCTCCGTCGTTTCCCGCTAAAAAAAGAAGCTAGGAGTCCGACTCCTCTCACGTCCGTCGTTTGCTTCCGTCGTGAATGCGGTCCAAGAGCTGATTGCCCCCCCCCCCCACCCCCAAGTGATGGTCTGAGCCCCTTTCACGCAAGCCGCCTTTTTTTTGCCCTTTTGGCGATAAAGTACCGAGCCGTGCGGGGGGGATTCGGACCCATTTCCAACATGCTAATAGGCTGGCCACTTTGGCTCAAAAGACAGCGAATTCCGCAACGCCCGCAACGGGGGAGCTGGAGTTTCACACGCCTCGTTCATTTTGTGTCGAAAGCCATTGTCGCAGATGTCGCTTCCAAGTCTCTCGTTGGGTGGAACCGCAACAGCCGCGCAGGCGGCGGCTTTCCGCTCGGCTTTCGGAAAGGCGCCGGAAATAAATGCCGGCTCTACCGTTCCGCCTGGAGTGCGCCAATTTACCAGGAATGCAAGTGCAAAAGGGGCCAGCCTCCGCCCAACCGGCGTGCCTCTAAAGCCCCTTTCACCCTGGCCATCGATGCCGATTGGGGGCGGTTGAAATCCACCCGCGAATTCAACGGTTCCGCCTCCGGCCGTGTGGAAGGGGCTTCCAAACTCCGCTTTGAGTCACCTCCTTGTGCCGCTCTTGGGACTGTGTTCACGCTTGGAATTTGCTGGCGGTCATCTGATGGCGCGCGCCGAGGCTGTGCTCCGCGCGGAAGGCACCGATGGACGAATGCTCTTCTGACGTGCATCTCGCCTCGGATGTGTCGAAAGCGATGGCGATGTTTGGTCACAGGATGATGCGTGAAGCCTTGTCGGTGTGAAATGGTGTACCGGCACTGCGATACCCCACCTTCGTTCGCTTCTGCGTGAAAGGCAAAGACTCTTTGAAGGGACCCACACGATAAATGCGAACGCAGCCGCTATGTCCACTATGTATGTCTGATAGCGTTTAGCGCACGTCCTCGTCTACCTTTTCCCGCAGCCAAAGTGATGCCGTAATCACCGCGCGTTCATCTCGGCCTTTTTATCCGTCTCCCTGCAGCATTTCATCCCAGTGCCTTTGCGGCCTTCTACCTCCCCCAAGCACAAATGAGAGCAGGTGTGCCTTGTCCGCACAAAAAAAAAAAAGGCCAAAAATGTCTTCTTTTTTTTAAGTCTAAAAGGAATACAAATCAGTTGTTTATTGGGGTTGTCAGGGTTTGCTCAAAGTGAATTTTTATGTTGTATGGCTGGAACCCAAATAATGATTCGTTTTAATGGGGATACACACATTGCCCCAAAAGTCAGGGTTTTTTTCCTTTTGTTTTTTGGGGGGAAAATGTGAAGAATTTCTCCGGGAAACGTGTTAGCGTACGATCAGTGAAATTCCCCCAAAGTGGCTGCTTCAAACCAAAATGGCCGACTTCCTGTCCAATTTGCGACATGGGTCTTTGAGGTGTTCGGTCATGATCTGAATCCGAATCTTGGCCAAGTATGTAGAACACCCAAGGAATTTGTCTCCGGTAGTACAGGCTGCGCGGGTCTCATCAATAACAAGCAACTACGCTAAACAAGGAGACGGCAAATAAGGACGGAAAGACTTTCCGTCACGTAAGGGTACCGTTGTGGAGTCGTACCACCCGGTGACAGCTGTGAGACGACGTGCAAAGTATCAAGCGGAGCTAAAATGACCCGTGGTAGCTTACAGTACTCGAACAGTTGGGCACATGGTGCAGATAATCGTTGCACCGTCTTAAAAGTGAGCAGTCGCAGTATTTGTCCAACCACTTGAAGTGTGCAATTGTCCGCAAGTCCTGTGATCATTTGCGGTCATGCTGTTCCACGGCGCTGTGCAAAATTGCAAAGAGCCACTTGAGATTTGGGTTCCTGTTTCGGGAGTTCATAGCGAGAGCGAACAAGCTGCTTAAATGTCTGCTGGATTTGGTGCGCGACGATCGGTAGCGCATGCCTGAGGGGAGGAGCTGGAAAAGATGGTGGGCAGGGTGTTGGGGGTCCAGGAGGAATTTCCAATGTGTGTGTTGATGTGTCCTGCCAAATGTGACAAACTGGTTGAATGTTTTTCTCAGGGCACACCTGAGTGAAATTGGGGAGTTTGGGGGAACGATACCCGGCTTGGCAAAATGGTCCAATCAGCTCACTTTTTTTTTTTTCTTCAAGCTATGAAATCGACATGTTAATTTTGGTGTCATTTCCAGCCCGCTCAACACAAGAATTCACTTGACTCGATTTGACAGATTCTCATCTCCTCAGGAAAAGAGCAACTGTAAAGCCGACGCGAGCCGTTCGACCGTTAGCTCCGTGACCCCCGCGCAAAGAGTCCGACTTTTTTCTGAATCGCCAAGTTTGACTTTTGACTCGGCAGTCTTCTACGTTGCCATGGACGCGCCCTCCCGTTTTGCGTTTCCTCTCCTCATTGGTAGACAAGCTGCTAAATGTTACGTGTCGATCATGTTTTTGAAAGGTCTACTACTTGTATGTTTTGCTTCATTTTCCGATCGTCTGCCCTTTGTGTCACCTTTTTTTTTTTCCATGCCAATTGAATGTACGTCAGAAAACACAGCGAGGTTCATGATTTCGGTGTTTCAGTGTTGCCGACGTTGTGTGGCTTTAAACATCCCATGGCCTTGTCCAATGTCACGCCCAAGGGAATGACGTTTATTTTTCTTTCTTTCTTCTTTTTCTATGTCATGACATCATTGTCTCTTGACCAAAAGCGATTTAACCAGCTTTTAAAAAAGGAAAACGAAAAACAAAAAGTTTTTTTTCGACCTCCGCTCTATTTATGTTCTGTTCCTTCAGCATGTTCTTAGTTCTTTATCGTGTAATATTTTTTTAATAAGACTAATAATAACAATTAAAAAAAAACTGAACCGAAGCTTTGTACGTGTTTGGATTTTCATGCTATTTTTGTGAGACATTCAAGGGTAAAATGAAGAAAAGGGAAAGTTGACGTCCGCAATATTCCGACTGCTTTTTGTGAAAAATATCCCAGTCCTGTCTGGTTACATCGGAACACCTGCCAGCCAGGTGGCGCTGTTGTTTAACAGGAAGCGAACATCCCCAGCGGGCATCCGACGTCAATTCAACAGGAACGGACAATCTACGACGTCAGTTGATGTTGCCGGACATCGGATGCCCACCGGGTCACACAACCAAACTCACACATCACACCACGTTGGAGTCGGTTTCATCAACTGTAGCCTTTTCCTGCATCTTTTGAAGATATTTACTTTGTCCACCTATTATGCGCAGAAGTGTTCGAATGTTTGTTTTTATCAGTCGAATGAGAATCAAATTCCCAACAGTGTTACATTACACGTAAGAAGAGAATATATGTTGACAAGTACAAAATAATAGCCAGACGTCACATTTGAACAACCGATGCTGTGAATATCCCCTGAGGGAAATGAATCAATCAACGCAATGATATATTCAATCAAAGAGAAATGTATACAATAGAACAGAATAAAATACTCAATGTCTTGAATGCATTTTGACTCCTTAACAGCACCTTATTGATTCAGTTGAGTGCTGTGGTGGTCTTCAGTACCACAAGTGTGTGTAGACGTGGTCTTCTGACCTTTAACCTGATCACCTGCTCAGCTGACTCATGTGAGGAATGTACTGAATGAACGGAAAAACAAACGGATGCCCAGTCAGCATCATTTAAAGCGAGAAAAAAAAAATCTCTTTCCTGTTGTGAACTGTCTTCACACAGGCATGCTGTCCAGGCTTGTGCCTGTCTTGAAAAAAAAAAAGTGCTCAGTCAGTCATCACGCTACCATGCAATCATCAAGTCGTCACGCAAGGGATGTAAGACGCTGACTTCTGCAAGCGGCGGCCAGCGACGCGAACTATACTTCGGCGCTCTTATTTGCTGCAAAAGCTTTTTTTTTCGTGTGTGTGTGATGCATGATGTGGCAAAAAAAAGGAAGTTATATTAACAAGAGATTACTGTGCCATTTTAAATGGCGTCAGTTGCCCTAAAAACTCGACTTAACTAACACAAATGGAACATTGGTGAGCACACAGTGTGGGCAACATGTACTTAAGCATTCAATTGTTTTTGTTTTGTTTTTTCGTGAATTTATTGGTGGTTTATTTCAGAGGCGTTTCGAGTGCCGCCTGCTGTTTTTTTTTTTTGTTGGTTTTTGTTTTTGTAATCTCCCAAAATGGCGGCCAATATCATATTGCTATTTACACCATTTACAATCGCTATGGTAATCTAAGATCAAGTAGTTCAAGTAAAAAGAGGAAAAAAACAATCACAAAGTCCACAAAACTCTGTCAATGAGGGATTTTGTTGTTGTTAAACCCAACAACAACAGAAAAAACAGAGGAGTTAAATAATGATTTTTTTCCCCCAAAACGATCTTTCAGCGTTCTAAGGCAATGAACGCTTTTTAAAATTTTATTCATTTGTAATGAACAAGACACCTAATCCAGAAGAGCATAAAAACATCAGGATTTTTTTTACTCGTTTTAAACGTCGTTCCACATGTTCACAACCTTCGACGAAGATAACGTGGCTAATCAATAAAGGTAGCGAGTGACTTCCCAAATGAATTGGTCATCAAGAAAAATGTAAACAGTGTTGTTGTGACGGGCGGGCGTTCAAAGTCCACCTACTTTAACCTGCTTTCGTATACTTTCTGATAAAACTGTGAATGTTTTATTTATTGCTCGCTTTGTTTTCGTTGTTGACGATCATGTCACTCAATTGGCGTTTGCTCTCGCGGGCCAAGCAAACAGGCGTACCGGCGTCGATCAGAGCGGACGCTCGCGTTCCGTTCAAATGTGCCGTTATCGCGTTACATCACGTCAAGCAAAAAAAAACGTAAGAAAACGCGACCGCGTGAGTATTGGTAATTCGTGCCGTGATTAAACCGCTTTAATTGATGTCATTTTAAGGGGGCATAATTCAATAAACGGGCTTTTATTTGCCGCGTCATTCCAGTGAGGAATCACGTGCATCCAAGTGACGTCACGCAAAGGGTCGTCCTTCGAGTCGGGACAAACAAGGCGCGGGCCAATGAGAGAGCTTGGCGGGCGGGGTGTCGACTGCCACTCAAAGCCTTTATAAAGTTTGTGTGGCTTTACCGCACTAGGATCATTTTTCCCTTTTTCCCTCCGGAGCGGTTGTTCCAAAGGGCTGCCCGTAAGTATGGCCGAAGTAAGCTCTGGTTATTCCGGTTTTTAAGAGTTATTCGCTCTTGGTGACGATAGTTCAGCCCTACGTGCCTTTAATTTGGCAACGTAATCGTGGGGATTTGTCGCCCGTAGTTAGAGCGAGGGGTGACGAGCTACGACTGGTCCAAATGGAGATTTCATCCTAAAAAAAAAAAATCGACGTTTTTAATCATTGTCGGGCGGTTTCAGCTGCCGTCTTGAATTCGGCTTGCCTTTTGTTGGCCTCTCGGCTGAAACAAAAGAAAACAACACGCCCGTTTGTTTTCGCGTTGGAAGGGTGCGAAAGAAGGTCAACGTGGCGAGAAAATAGGTTCAGATATTTGCTTGTTGTTGTTGTTATTTTCGCTGTTCATTTTCCACGTCGCAAATTGGGATGGCCCACTTTTTCTTGGCTCGCCTTCGCAGATCCCGTGACTGGGAAAAAAAACCGGAAGAAAAAAAACCCAAGAGCAGACCAGTTTCCGTTTTCTATCCATATTTGAACCTATGAGGTCGGAGCCCTTTTGTCCTCGAATCCCGAATACTGGAGACGGACGAAGCGGGGCCAAATGAGCGTCGGTGGTGGTCGCGCGTGTCGTTGGGTGGGACGGGAAGCTCGACGCCGGCTTTCGAGTTGCACTCAGCGGACACTTGACTGGGTTCACCGAGTGCGCCGCGAGCCGGCGAGCGAAATGAACAAACCCAACAACAACAAACAACCCCAAACTGTTTTCGGTCATCCTCGCTGGCCTTTTTATTTCACTTGTTCTGAACATTCGAAACAAGTACACGGTATCGAAGGGAAGGAAACCCAATTGACGGCTTTAATGCGAACATCTCGTCTACCTGGAGACGGCCTGAGAGGGACATTTGCATGGACAGCTTGCGCTTTTCCACACTTGGGGCATCAACGCATCCCAGGCGCGGCATGCAACAATAGTCACAGGTGGAGTTTCTCT